TGTCAAGGTTACTTAATTTTTTTGCGGCAGGAATGAAGAGAAGCCGTAAGTTGCAAAAAACGACAGTACTGTAGTGTATTGGGTGACTTGAGTTCAATTTTGATTTGTCGAAAACGCGCAATGTGCCTTTGGTCAGATCGAAAGTCAATGAATTCAAAAATATGTAAAAACACTGCATTTATCGTCATTCGTATCACCTTGCTACATGTCGTCTGATAAATAGTTCAATATGTTGTGTCAAATGTTTTCGTTACATACATGCGTAAACACTGGTTTCTGATTTAAGAATCTTTATTTCTCAAAAGAATTTACAAAATTCACTTACTAAGAAACCATACATAAAAGTAAACAAAATAAATCCTGTTATGTGGTTATTTGGGAAATATGAATAATTTGCAATGCCTATATTAAAGCACACGATTTACGCAAAAACCGCTAAAATAATAGGCCCTACAACTACATTACCATAGCCGTAACTCATAACTAATCGTAATAATGTATAATCATATATTTATACGTATAATTTAATACTAATAGGATACATTCAATTTTAACTCCGACTGGAAGTCTAGTTAAAACTCTGTCATGAGCACGACTTACGTTCTAACTTCAAGGTTTCAAATGTGTGGAGACCTGCCTTATTTGTTGTATTTGTTTAATGTAAGTTTAAATTAAAACGACGCAACAGAATATGCATGTCATCTTTTGGCAATTTATGGAATATACAACTTCACTTAAAATAATTATTTAATGAGTACTATGTAGGTGCGTATTGTAAACAAACGTTCTAATTTTCACATTTTTTTAGAAAGATATTGATAGACAGCTGTCTACAATTAGCTATTACCTTACACAAAATTTCTATGACTGCAATTCAAAATATGTATGTATGTAATTAAACCTTTAAATTATCATAAATATTTTTAAAGTCATTTGATAAAATATAGACTATACTTACCACTTTGACTATTACAAGATGTTTTAGATGCATAACATTCTTACCTGTAAACAAAGAACAGATATTTTACATTAACAAAAAAATAATATTTGCAAGTTTAAGTAGGAACACAATTTATCAAGTTTTCCTTTTCTTTGCTGTGCTGTTGTCCAGCGTAATTTGTTTCCATAGTCGGTTCTTACGACACCCACGGGATGAGCAGTGCACGGATGGTGACACTCCGTATTCTTAATCCGTCACCTCACGGACATTAGATACTTGTAAATAATTTGTTTTAATTTTCATTGTACTAAATCCTTAAACAAATACGCTGCCTGCTGCTGCCTAGTAAACTTCATACAACTTTCTGCCATAACAACGAATGTATTCTTTAAAAAAGAATAGTAGAAAATTGATCAGTGTGTTTACTTTTATAAAATATGTGCAACCTTTGAATGAGTAAACAAAATAATTTTAATCGGCGAAATCTTAATTTTTATCACAAATAAGGAAATAACACTAATAATTATTTTATTACTTACTTACTAATTAATTATTCAATAACTTTAAACCTGAAATATATAACTATTCAGAAAGTTAGCGCCCATCAAAACATACAGAATTATGAGCCTTTCTAAAATAATTTTATTTCATTTGCCAGTATAAAATAACTCTAGTTTTCACTTCCCTGTTAATGTAATTGACATGAGAAGTTATTTTAGAACTCCGATCGGGCTAGCTAATGAACCTACGAGGCATCGGCCGGTTATCTGAGGAATGTCGAAGCCAGGTGGTACGCGCCCTGGTCACGATCCTGTCTGGCATGATAATAGTTAGATATCACAATGGACATGTACCGAGAGAAAATTCAATTTCATTATAATACACTTCCACCGCTACATACAATTTTTATAAAAAACTATATAGGCGACCAAAGGTAAACCAAGGCGAAACCCTTAAAACAATAAGTACTACTGCGTAAACTAATTATTGTATATTTTACATATTCATAAACATATTACATATTCCACGATAAACCTATAAACATTTGCTATTTAGATTTGGAAATAAATAACAAAGAGTATTTTCAACAACAACCGTCTTAATCATCTTATATTCAGGTAAAATAATATGAATAATGATATAAAGAAGTAATCACTTTCACCGACGAGATTTTCCGCCTTTCGTGAGTCGATTGCATTGATACGCGATACCATGTGTGTTCATTGAACTTCGTTGATATTTAAACAAAACGTGATACTTCCGCCGACGGCTTTGCTATCTTAAGGTTTCTTTCTTAGTTATTGCTTTAACACATAATCGACTTTAAAACGTACTCGTATATATGTATTTTCGATTTTGCTGGAAGCTGGTGGAAAGTGTATGGCCGAGCTATTTTATTATTACTGCCTACACTGACGACAAAATAAAATAGCCCATACAACGGTGACTGCGTCGCCATTCGCGACAACGTTTAAGTAGGTATAGAAGATGGATAATAAAGTTACTAAGAAAGGTCATCCACAAGATGTGACTTGTTTTCAAACGAGTGCCATTTAAGCTTTTAATTATTTGTGCCAGTATATGCTGACGGTACACGTCTCTTACAAGTAATTAATCAGTCATTCCAGTCGTCGAAAGAACGCGTGATGCTTGAGCAAATTAAAAATACGTTAAATGCATAAGTGCACTTGCATACAGATTGACAGACAAATGTGACAGATTGCATCTATATTCATATGTAAATAAAAGAAACTATTGGAGCTTTTTCAACTACCTGATTAATGCTGAAACGTGAGCGTGGAACATCAAATATGTGTTATTTGTAACTGGAATAATTATTCATACTAGAGTAGTAAGTATGGATGAGCTATAGGTATTATTACCAGAGTAGTGTGGCGCAAGAAACAAAGTTACAAAACAACAACTTGTTATTGTGGATTATCTTCTTTTTACAACTTTTTTTGCACCCTTTTTTTTTCCGTGCGGAAATCCCCTCGGATACTACCTTGTCGGACATGTCGGACTCGAACCGACTAAAACCGCACGCCGTCTCGGGTACTAATAGCCGGGGAAAGGAAGTCCCTGGTGCCCCGACATACCGCGGGCCATCTACAACAAGTAGATGACCCCCCCGTGTGGGAACCCCATGTTCCCGCGCTCGCCGCCACCCCGGCCTGCTTCTGCTAGGGTGACAGATGGCCTCACCTGTCACCCCCAGGCTTGCGCTTATGGAGGACGGAGGTCGTTCTGCGACCTCCGGCGCCTGAGTCGCCTGCGGTACCTAGCCCGTTAGAGTCCTAAACCTCTCCCGGTCCCGCTCCGCCGTCTCCTTCGTCAGAGATCCACGCACTCTCGCTCCGCACGATAGCCGCAATCAGGCTATCGAGCGAGAGAACTCCCACTCTGATGGCCGCCACGAGGTCAGCCAGCGTGTGGAGAGCCGTGTCCACGGTCTGGTCATCGCAGTGGTGGCACTCAGGCGTTGGCTCCTTGCGGATCAGACACAGTTGATCCCCGAAACATCCTTTTCCATTTATCACCTGCGTCAGTCGGTATGAGAGGGTCCCGTGACACCTCTCGAGCCAATCCTCCATAACGGGTCTTACCGCGATGACGGCGTGATCTGATGGAAAAATACTTTGAACAGTTTTAACAGAGAATCGTAAGTGATACGTGTGATTCAATTCAAAAACAAATTCAAAATTTCCATCTCTACATCCAACCTCAAGTTCATCATACGTTGAGAAGTATTCGTGTGAAGTAAGAACACTTATATCCCTACAAGGCTCAATTTTTTTTTCATAGCTGATTAAATTATTTAAGATGTAGTTAGTGTTAAGAAATTAGGGGAAATAAATAAAAATGTTGAAAACCAAATATTGAACTAGAAAATCATAATTTTATTTCAGTTCCACATATGGTACACTGTGCCTTAAATCTACTTTTTTGGCAAAGAACAGGAACATTGAATTATTTTAGTAACGGCTTAGCATATGAATTTGTTTGGTGTTAGTGTGTGTGTGTGTGTGTGTGTGTGTGTGTGTGTGTTTGTGTTTGTGTTTGTGTGTGTGTGCATGTGTGTGTGTGTGTGTGTGTGTGTGTATGTGTGTGTGTATGTGTAATTAACAATATAAAAATAAATCAAAATATTACAAAATGAATTAGCGTCTACTGATGGAACTTCCTAAAGCAATTGTTATCTTTGTTCAGGCATAATTCAACTGCACATTTCTCAAAAAATATGAAGGTTTTTTCCTTTGCAACTGGGATATTTACACCGTTGCCTTTTTGTACCCCAAACAGGAAGATGACAGAATCCATTACGTCTGACGTCAACAGGAGGTAAGATTGCTGAAATGGGCTTCTTTCTCTTTATTTCAATATCATCATCAGGCAAACTTGACGGTCTGCCTCTTTTCTTGGTAATCGATTGCCCTTGCATACAGAGAGTTTTTCCTAGATCAAGTTTGAATTCCCTTAGCTTGAGTGGGATTGATATTCGCTTCTGCTCTCCAACTCTCTTGTACAATAACTAGCTATTTATAACAACTACATCAAGAAGATGATAAAATACCCTCAAATACCATTTTCTCGTCCGATTTTTTATTTTGTATTTTCCTAGAAACGAGTCCAGTAAGTCCACACCACCCATATGCTGATTATACGTTTTGACTACTTGGGGACAATCTACTTGTATATTTTTTTTCTGTTTCTTGCAGTACCTCTTTACGGATTTTGACAGTTGTTGACCCACAAAAGATGATGATAAGACAACAGGTTTGTTATCGTACTATAAAACTGTTACGACATCAGTTCCATCAACATCAGCCACCCATTCTTCGGAAAATCCCCTCTCCACCTTATCTTTTTTCAGGTCCTTTAGAGAAGGTTTTTGAAGGTCTTTTCCTAAACGACCTTTGTTCACTGTCCCTAACGATTGTATTCCTTCTTTGGCCAAATATGAAATCAGTTCTGGAGACGTATAATACGATACAGAGCCCTGGTTTTTAGTTATATTCGCTAAAGGGATGGAAATTGAGGACCGTCTTGAATTGCGTGATTACCTGGGGTTATCTAAAGTAGACTCTGAAAATGCACCAGACTGTGAAAATGTACTGGGCTGAGAAGTAGATCCACGAACATCCACGGTAGCTGGAGACAAACTTCGTGATATTTCTATGTCGCTAGTTGATTCCGCAAAGAAATTGAGGGTAGACTGGATATTGTTGATGTCATCATCGCTTTCAGCTTTCGAATGAACTTCCTCATCCTCACTACCTGAGGGTATATCGAGATAATCCTGAATTTCATTGTCGCGTAATAATCGATTCGACATAATCTGTAAAAAACAAGGAATTCGTTAGTACAGTTATGGTATGTATACATATGAAAAAGATAACCTAAAGCTCACTGTACCATATGTGGCACATCCATAAAAATACAATTCTAGAATGCAATTAATAAAGAAATGAAAAAACTAGCTTACCTCTACAAAATTAACACTTTTCACGTTACACAATATTTTTATCCGGTTTAAAATCCTTCAATTAATATTTTTTTGTAATTTTTGAATTTGCACCAACAAGAAACGTTAAATGACTGTCTCAAATTTCACACTTTGCCGTCGCTTTCGAAAAAGTAATGACATCTATGAAAAATGTCTCGCATCATATCGTTACTACCTTAGTAGTGTACCTATAACAATCACACAGACGTCACTATGAGTATTGTATAAATCTATAGGAAGCATAAAAGTGGTTGTCCCGTATATGGCACTGGGTGCCTTGTAGGGATATTACTTCTCGTGATAAAAAAAATTCATTAAACGTAGATCTTTTATTTTGTTTCTTTTTTTTTTAAGACAACGCCCGCATTAGGAATATATGCTGTGTCGCGGGGGACTTTATAAGCATACATGATACGGACACAAAGAACACCCAGACTCAGAACAACTATTTGTGGATCACATAAAGTGACGTCCATTGTGGTGATCGGACCCACAACACTCGGCGAAGTAGTAAGCAGCGTGGCGACCGCTTAAACCACTACGGCATCCGTGCATGGGGATATTTTATATGAGACTTGAAGATTTAGATACGTTTTACACATATGTAGTAGATAGACATCATAAGTATGTCAATCCTACGCTCCGCTACGCAAACACCGGAAAATCTAATGTTTCATTTTGATGTATAATTAAGCTGTTACGATCCACATCCAATCACTCAGTCAATACAAAGTAAGAAGATAATAATACTCGACATGCTTTTATAGAAAAAAAAAACAGATTGCTATTCGTATTTCTGTATTTAAATGAAGGTTGCTTATTAAGTAATTATGGTGCCAATAAATACAAATGAAAAAAGTTAAATGTTAATTGTTAAGCCAAAGTTGCATGACTATTGTGCATTTGCATATTAACTAACTTTTGCTTTCAAGTTTACCTACTTAGTTACAGGTAACCCATAGGTTATTGGGTAAAAGTTGATAAATATGAAATATACCTATGCTATGAAAAAAAATTGTTTGTAAACATGATCGTTAATTTCATTAAAAAAACAAGTGGATGTACCTAGACCAGCTAGCTAGCTACTAATGATTTCAAAACATTTTTATAATTCAAAAGACATTGTGTTTTTTTATAATTTAGATGGAAAAGTAACTGGTGTTTGTATGTTAAACTTAAAATTGCAGTACATTATCTATATTGCCGAGTGACTGGCTTTAAGTTTATATTATTTTTAATATGTGTAACTAATTACCCTGCAGGTGTATGATTATTTCAGAATAAATAAGAATAATCATAATATTTCTACCACACAACGCCATCTAGTTTCGAACTAAGCAGAGCTTGTACTTTAAAAGCCAGATTGACTGATAGAATACTAAATTTTGTTTTTTGTAAACACATACATATAATACACAGAAAACACCCAAACTCCGAAACAAATATTTGCAGATCATACAAACATTTGGTCCGAATCTGGTATCGAACCCGAGACCTCAGTACAGCAGTCGCATACGCTACCACTGCACTACCGAGGCAGCTAAAGCATAAATAAATAACATTTTTAAATACACAGAAAAGATTTGTGCTACTCTACAATACTGAAAAACATCATAACGCTTATAGTATTAATAGTATTTAAATAAGATTGCATACATACATTAAGTGCCCATTACATTCGCGATAGAGCAACTTTGTTATGATTAATAATATGACCGTGATAAAATTGTTTTATTGCGCCTCTACCTCAATTAACACTAATGAAAAATGTGTTTAAAATGTTATAGATTATGTAGTATGTGTTTAGGTAGTAAAAGAAAACCTATAAATACAATAGAAAATACAATTTACTTTTGGATGTATGTGGATAAAACCCACGGCTTCCCTCGTGCCAATGTAAATCTTGTCAATCAATTCAGGTCGCCCTCAGAAGAGCTAAGTTTGTTTTCCTTTGTTCTTGTGTCCCTTACAACGTGTATTTGTATATTGAATAGTTAACTATTCAATATACAAAAACACGTTGTTAAAATGCGAAATTAAAAAAAAACTACACGTTGTTAAAATGTGTGCGAAAGTGAATTTGTTCACTTAAGTGAACAAATTCACTTTCGCATTTTTAAGATTAGTTAAGATCTTTAATATTGGTTCCATGTTGATGGAACACTAAGAGATAGATAGAATAAATACAGCTCGTATCATTAAAAATTATGATCTATGTCGGAGCGACGGTTTATAATTTCAGAGAAAGCTCCAATCAAAGATTAGAGACTTTTTTGATATTTTTAATGATACGTGTGGGTGCGGAAATGGTAACCGATGGATGTTGTTGAACTAATCAAATTATTATGCCTTGAAATGATACTATGCATTTAGGAGAATAAATTTTATTAAAAAATAGTTTCCAAAACAATAATCTTAAAATGGTAATAAAGTTAATTATACACATTTCTAACATATAGTATGCTCGTAAACTAGTCTCCCTTGCGGTTGCCGTCTCTTGAACATAAGGAAAGAGGTGTGGTTGAAGAAAACTCACCCGCGTCCATGAACAATTCAAAAATATATAAATATATATACATAGGAACAATTCAATTCGGAACATTTACAATAAGAAAATCAATAACCAAAAGTTAATTACAATTATAATATAATTATATAATAGAATAATCTTCATTGCTTAAATAGTGTACATCCATACTTTTTTTATTTTATTCGGGGAGGTTACGGCTAAAGGACAATGGCAGTGCCGGCTAGCGTATCTCATGGTAGTGATTATTATTGTATTTCTTTGGCTGGTAATATTATCAACAATTACAGTTGCAATTACTAGATTTTTTAGAACTTTGCGTTCAAAAGTTATTTTAGTTTGTAGTTCGCCTAGCATATACGCTGTACTCAAGTCAAAACCAATGACAGCTGGCTGGACAAATGAGTTGTCACTGCTGTCAACATGATAAGCAGTCTATCTTTCAAAATCATTTGTTTACGATTTTCTTGATCGGTCAATAAAATGTTGCCCTTTCAAATCAGTTCAATTACTTTTTTCACAAAACTCTTCTTCTTTATCCTCGCCCTATCCCATTTTAATTGGGGTCGGCTCTCCTAATCAATCTTCGCCAGGACGTTCTGTCCTGGGTCGTCTGCGGATCTATTTGGGCCGTTTGCAGATCTTTTTTTATGACTGACTTTTTTCACAAAACGTTCACGATTAATCTAATCAATTTGAATAAAAGTTATTAGTCCCTTTCCTTGAATTAATTGATTTAAAATTATAATTTCTTATTTCCTTGGTCTAATCTGTACACTCTGTACAGTCAACATTATTAATAAAGAAATGTTAGTTTTTAACTGATAAATATACTAGTGAACTCATTCATTAATCGCGATGTAAACAAATATCGTTATTTATGTCATTCTTATTTTATGCATGGCAAGTACATACAACTAGGAATGCGTTTTGTTAACAACACTTGAAACGTTTAGTTCTACCAATTCTTTGAGAAGAATTTATTTACTTATAGCAAAGTTCTAAAAATATATAGTTAAGCGTACATCTACGTGCCATTTACAAGCTTCCACATGTAGACACTGCTAATATATAAAATCAAATTTTATAGGTACTTAAATATTCATAGGTTATAAAAACAATTTAGGTTCTAAAAACATAATATTCTTGACATGGTTGGTACTACTGCAGAATAAATAAATGAGTTTTTTGTTTCAGTCTATTAAATTAAATGACCTGGAAACTATTGGTAGGTTAACTATTATATCGATAATTGCTGTGAAACTTATATCATAAATCCATGCTTCCATACTCATATTATAAATGTGAAAGTGAGTTTATTTGTTTGCTTATTACGCTTTTACGCTTAAAGCGAGGAACATAAGCTATTTTTACCACGATAACCGACATACACGCGGGCGGAGCCGGGGGCAAAAGCTAGTAAGATATAATATTTTTTGTTAGAGTATCAACTATTTATTTTATTCATGTCGAATGTGCAATATTCTTGTAATTTTTAATTTTTACATAGGTACATTATATTGGAAGATAAATATATGTCTAACATTGAGTCAATTGTCAGTCTGGGCTCTCATGACACCAAATAATTTATGGCTAACGAGTTTTTGATTAATGAAATTAGCAGTAATGAACTGTGAAAATCACAATGACAATACGATGTGAGGACAAAGAAATTTTAAATGGCTCTTGTTAGAATTTTCTCGCGGTTTCACCAGCCTTGTGCCATTTAATGGGTCTCTTTAATGATATAAACATAGTGTTACTGGTATGTCCATACACTTGTAATATGACTTACACTTGTAATCTGCCAAGTCGTACATTCAACATACACATAATAAATATTTTATCCTATACAAGATATATCTTAAAAAGCATTTTGTAGCAAATCAACAAATAGACCAGACCCGTTTTGCACTTTAGCTATAATATGCATCTATAGGATTAAAAGGCGCTTAAAAACTTAAGCATAATATCTTCTTATAGACACGTGTTATCAAAATGACCGTCCAAAGCACGTCATCTCGACATGGTCTTATACACGTCGTCGTACATCATTCTAGGTTTTATTCGCGTGTACATAACCATGAGGGTAGGTGCACCCACTCGTTTAGATTACAATGAGCGCCATCTCTTTTAGGTGTTTAGGTAGATAGATCGGTACATCACTTACCTAGCTAAATATCCAAAATAAAGATATATAAGTTCGGTTTATGTGGATACATGTAACTGATAGTACGGAGTAAGTTTCTGTGCTTGTACTTGTATTTTTATTTTACGAACTACGAGGGGTGATCAATAAGTA